ACAAAGCAATGCTGCATTTCCAAAAAGCAAATACTGTAAATTGTTACGTAAATAGTGACGTTTTGACGTTTACATGCATTGTTGTTAATCAGCGTATCTTAGAAAGGATGAGGATATGTAGTTCATAAGGAACTAGACCTTTCTGTCATGACAGTAACTGCTTAATGGTAGTTACTCTTTGTGAAATTTGTTTTACAGTCGAAGTGTAGTATTATTTTCTCAAATCTCACTTAAGGCCAACCAAGTGGGCCATGGTCCGTAAGGCCACTGCAAACCATCTGTAAAGATATATGTAACCTACTAATTTTGGCAAGGTTTATTGTGTTTTGATGTTATTAGACACTATAAGAGCACAATGAACTTCTTCTACAGATGAATAATACGTTGGTTAAGAGAAATATATAAGCCGAATTAATAAATGTCACAATCCAAGTGTATTAAAATGGCATTGGCCTGCACTTTTTTGTAGTACCGAATTTGGACGTTTTGTTTATGCTTTTGTCTGGGTAAGTTACCACACTTCGAGAAATTTCTTTTAGAGATTAATTAAATGGTTTTTGTTGCTGAGTAGTGCTAGTACACATGTAACCCTTTTCGTTAGTTCAATAACATTCAAAGGCGCTCTATGTGTTTTCACTAAGCTGAATGAATACATCTAAGTAACATCTCTAAAAAGTCTGCAATGTATTGCAATATTGCAGATTAATATCTTTCAAAATCATGCACACATATTTATTCATAAAAATTATTTAAAAAATAATCCAGTTGCTGTTAACCACTATTAGTTTAACGAAATATAGACAAAAGGCTCATAATGTATCCATGGGCAACTTTCCCTTCTGCACTTGTATTATTTTGTATTGTATCACACAATCGAAATCTTTTCCAATAATTGAAAACATGTATGGACATATATCTCATGAACAATGATCTGTCATGAATAATATGACAAAGTATTTTCAAAAGTGGTCAAAAAGGCAGGCACCAACCCGTACAATATAGAGTACCTGGGGACCGAGCTTTGCTAGGGGAAAATCATTAGTTCACTCTGAAAGCACCTTAGTATTGGAGATACATAAATCCATTCCCAAACTCCACACGGCTCGCCTTTACTACGCCATACACAATTTCCTACGTCATGGACCTGTTTCCCTCCATTCCCATTGCATTTAAAGATTGCAGATACCTTAATCTAATCGTCATAAACAGTTCCTACACTCCGGACTACTCGCCTTGACTACTTCCTTCACCACTTCCTACGTCGCGGACCTGTTTCCCTCCTTTCTTTTTTTACTACTTCCTACACCACTTCCTACGTCGCGGACCTGTTTTCCTCCCTTTCCATAGCATTTTAGGATTGCAAATACCTTAATCTAATCATCATAAACAGTTCCCACGCTCCAGACAGCTCGCCTTGACTACTTCCTACACCACTTCCTACGTCACGGACCTGTTTCCCTCCCTTTCCATAGCATTTTAGGATTGCCCATACCCTTATCTTATAGTCATAAACAGTTCCCACACTCCGGACAGCTCGCCTTGACTACTTCCTTCACCACTTCCTACGTCGCGGACCTGTTTCCCTCCCTTTCCATAGCATTTTAAGATTGCCCATACCCTTATCTTATCGTCATAAACTGTTCCCACACTCCGGACAGCTCGCCTTGACTACTTCCTACACCACTTCCTACGTCACGGACCTGTTTCCCTCCCTTCCCATAGCATTTTATGATTGCCCATACCCTTATCTAATCGCCATAAACAGTTCCCCCCTCACTCAGGACTGCTTGCCTTTACTACTTCCTTCACCACTTCCTATGTCGCGGACCTGTTTCCCTCCCTTCCCATAGCATTTTAGGATTGCCCATACCCTTATCTAATCGTCATAAACTGTTCCCACACTCCGGACAGCTCGCCTTGACTACTTCCTTCACCACTTCCTACGTCACGGAACTGTTTCCCTCCCTTCCCATAGCATTTTAGGATTGCCCATACCCTTATATAATCGTCATAAACAGTTTCTACACTCCGGACTACTCGCCTTGACTACTTCCTTCATCACTTCCTACATCACGGACCTGTTTCCCTCTATTCCTATAGCATTTTATGATTGCCTTTATTAATTCCTTCACCACTTCCTATGTCACGGACCTGTTTCCTTCCCTTCCCATAGCATTTTAGGATTGCAGATACCTTAATCTAATCGTCATAAACAGATCTCAGACTTTGCACTGCTGCCCTTGACTACAGTGTTTCGAGTAATCTTCAGTATAATCTTTGCTAAATATTAACAAGTGATGTTTTTCCTCTTGTACTGTATTTGTAATTTGCTAGTATACTGTGGGTAGTTGGCTTATTATGAACACATGCTACAACTTCAAGTCTTTTGTTTACTTTATCCTTGTTATGTAATTCATCCAACATGGTTACCTAGCAACCCATAAGACTAATGTAAAAAAAAATGTGATTTTCAGTTTCATTTTTCTACGTAATTAGATTTTTGTTGGCAGTCCTAACTGCAGTAAACTCGTTTTTAGGCCAGAAATAAACTATTTACAACATTTGAAGAAAATCGTCGGAGGCATTTTCGAGATCTTTTTTGCAAGCAAGCAAGCATACAAGCAAACATTGCTCGTATTAGAGTATAGGATATAAGATAATTTGATAAGAAATCATTTAAGGAGTTACAGTACTGTAATATTAAGATTTTCCAATGATTTCGTAATTGAACGTTATATTGCAAAACATGACATGATGAAGAACAAAATCAATTTTAAATCAAATCTGAAAATTACATTGCAAAAATACTACTTTTGGACAAACTCAGCAACTCCCCATAATAATAAATGTGTTCTTTAAAATACAATTTAAATATTAACAGCTGTTTCATTAAACAATAGTAAAAATTATCCATATGACGATAATGTAAACAAATCTGAGAAGGGAACTTTAAAGGCTTCTGGGGCAGAGCCCTAAGGGAATTTAGTTTTTTTTTTTTTTTTTTTTTTGATGGCTCATCATATACAGACCAACCTGCAGACAAGCAAGCATTGCTCGTATTAGAGTATATAAGAAAATTTGATAAGATATCATGGAGTTACAGTACTGTAATATTAAGATTTTCCAATGATTTCGTAATTGAACGTTATATTGCAAAACATGACATGATGAAGAACAAAATCAATTTTAAATCAAATCTGAAAATTACATTGCAAAAATACTACTTTTGGACAAACTCAGTAACTCCCCATAAAAATAAATGTGTTCTTTAAAATACAATTTAAATATTAACAGCTGTTTCATTAAACAGTAGTAAAAATTATCCATATGACGATAATGTAAACAAATCTGAGAAGGGAACTTTAAAGGCTTCTGGGGCAGAGCCCTAAGGGAATTTAGTTTTTTTTTTTTTTTTTTTTTTTTTTTTTGATGGCTCATCATATACAGACCAACCTGCAGACTGCAGAGTGACGGCTTCGGCCCAGAAAGAGCTTTTTATCACGGACACGAGTCCTGGATGGATCACTCTCAAGCAAAAATCGGGTGGCAAGGTGGGAGGCCACGTTGATTAACCCTCCCATACCAGCCAGGGAGGAACTGGCTCCTGATGGAGGCCTGCACACGGTGTGGAAGACCCTAAATCGAATAAGGGTCGAGGTATCAAAATACAAGTCAAACATGCAGAAATGGGGTCTCTTACCTGACGAATTGTGTGCGTGTGGTGCTGTTCAGGATCCTGGCCATCTGCTGATCCGTCCACGCCTAGACCAGTCTTGCACATTTTAGATGATCTTTTACAAGTAAAGACAAAGCCATGTCGCGGTAGCTAATTTTTGGAAAAGCGAAGTCTGATTTCCGGACACAGAAAGTAAGTATCTACAGACCGAGACCTTTCTTTGGACACCTCTACCAAGTCTCCACGCCCAGCCGGTCTCTCAAATTAGTGGCAAACTCTCAAATTCTAATCACTGCAATTAGAAATATCATTTATGAGAATCAGATGTGCCATTGTTTTTGGATACTGGCAGTAGACATCCTATTTATGAGAGTTATTGTACTAACCGTTCACTTTGTATATTGCATGTATTATTTAAATCTCATTTACGAGAAACAGATTCAGCATTGACTTTAGATACTGCAAGTAGACATCCCATTTACGTAAAAAAGATGTAGCATAGACGTTAAGAATTAATGTTTTGGATGAATAAGTCATTTATTGGGCCAAACTGACAATACAAATGATATATGAATCCACATCTTTAGGCTATTTTTAACAGTTGTTATATAATGTTAATGGTATAAAAAAAACTATGGCTTCAATTAGCACAGTAGTAATTTAGTTTCTTCTTTAGACATTGTTCTAACTAACTCATAAAAAATCCTAGATCCTAAAAGCCTAATGACCTAAATCATAAAAAAAAACTCATGAAAATAAGTGATCGCTTCGTTCATCCGGCTTTCACTACCCTGAAAGCAACCCTGGTTCTGGGGCCCATTTCATAATAAACTACAACTACAACTACAAGTTACAACTTTTGTAACTTGTAATTTCCATTAGATTTGCATTGGGCGATCAGCTGATTTACTAATAATATTAGTTTGTACTTTATTATGAAATGGGCCCCTAACTGAAAAAATATATTTGTGATGAAAATGTAAAATGTAAGAAATTGCACCTTCATTAAAAGACATTATTTATTTTTTGACACAGAAAACAAGAATATAGATTGGGGGATCTATTGTTTAAACCAAAACACTAAAAAAAGCCGATACCATAGAATGATAATAACGTTTATTATATCTCATTTAGATTACTATACAAGATCAATACTAAAATCAATGCTAAGGAACTTACTGTATAAGCCTTTGGAATGACTCAAACGAAAACGATTCTCTCAAGCCAGGAATTATTTATTTTGCAGTTTGTAACAGCTGTTTAATGAAAGTCCAATATTTTTAAGCAAAAAGGAAAGGAAAACAGAACCGTGAACCCGAACCGTCTGCCTGTGCTATTGCGCTGCCATCAACGTTGTCAATGTTGTCAGGTTTCCCCTTTTTAACTTTAAAATATGTTCTCAGCGTAATTTTAATTGCTTGATTTAAGCAGTATGTACAACATATATTAATAAAAAGTGTAGTGTGTGTTAGTAGGCCTAGTTTGTTAGATAAATTTTGTAATATAAGGTGTTTACGTTGTCGTACAATATTTTGAAGAGCAGGCAGGACAAATAAAATCTTAGACAATTTTGGTAAGGCTATTCTATTCTAAAACATAAGCTATATAGGTTAATGGAAGCTTTTTGGGTATTTTATAGTCTCTCTGTTATGTTCTTATAAATCTTAAGGTCACGTTCAATAAAATTTAATAGCCTACTTTTAAACACAAACTAACCCTAGACATTATGTTATCTCAAATTGACTCACCAATCGCTAGGGCCTATTAAATAAATTACCTATGTTTGATATAAGTAGGCTAGACTAACTTAAAAATTACTCAAGTGAATTTTGACAAAGCATAAAATAGGTAACTTACATATTGATGTTAGGCCTATACAACAATTAGGCATAGGCCCCTACCGTAGAACCTCTTTAATCCGAACTAATTGGGACAGGGTGTAGTTCGGATGATTGAATAGTTCGGATTACAGAACATATTGTTGTTTTTACATAACAATAGGTAAAACATGGCTAAGTTGGCTCTTAAGTTTAATTGTTACAGAAAAGTGAAAAAAGTAAAATGCAGTGTTTGTGTGTTTACAGTACCTGTAGTAACTTAAACATATTGAATAAACAGTACTGTACATTACAATAGAAACAATTACCGTGCCTACGTAATAAAGAACTAAGTACCTACTGTACTGTGTTTGGATACAGTTCAATGGCGTTCTGATTAGTAGACATTCGGATTACGGGGGTTCGGTTAAAGAGGTTCTAACTTACTGTACTTGGTTGAACTGAAGGTTAACTACATCCCAATAACATATCGGTAGTGATGTCTTTCGTTAGCCCTATCATAAGTTAACCATTCTTCCGTCAAATTGATAAGTTCAGATCATCAATACAAACACCACCTTTGGTAGCCTATACAATGACTTACCATCAAACCCACTCAGAATCAGAATTTTTATTGTCTTAAAACATAATATGGTACAATGTAATAGACAACGTAAATATGATCAATATGATTGCAACAAGATGATCAATACAAAGTTAAAAATACAATACTATTTGTCAATCAGAACATCAAAAGTGTACAGACTTAATAGAAAAATATTCTGACAAGTCATAGAAAGGATTTAGGCTTAGCCAGTCATCCAGTCTAAGTTTGAATAACTTAAATTCTAAAGATTTGCTTTCAGTGTGCAACCTATTAAACATTTTTAGACCAATAATCGCAAAACTGTTTTTACACTTACGTAGCCTACTGGTGAATGTCTGTTCTGTGTACATATAAGCCTAAATTTAAATTCTTTTTTACATACAACAAACACAAAAATATATACAGGTTTAGGCCTATCACAGTCACTACGGTATTAAATAATAGTCCCTATGATTTATGAAAAATTAGTTATCAGCTGTTTTAAGCCTCATAGGCTTAACCACGATTACGCTACTAGAAAAATACCGGTATGGATCATAAACATAAACAAATGACGTTTTTGGCCCGAAAATAAACATTACCGTATTTAACATTGCTTAAATGGAACTGCCAAACATATGTTCAATGCTATTAGTATAGGATTCGGGCCAACAACGTCATTTGTTTATGTTTATGATCCATACCAGCATTTTTCTAGGATTCGTGGGCTTAACCACATTTTAAAAATAAAAGTTTTATGTAGCCTATTCATTCCCTCTTGATTATTGAATTAACAAGACTTAAGTACAATCTAGTATTTAATTAATATTTTTTTCAGAACTCATATCCAAACTGCAACATTCTGCTTGCCACTAAATGTTACTGTAAGTCAATTAAAGGAATATGAGCTACCAGAATGATAGGAATCCTGGTCCCATTCCTAAAAGGTGGCTCAGATGCCCGAGAAAGGCATACAAGTTACTTGCGGATAAATTCATCGCATTCAAAACACCACTTGACAGCCGGTATGATGAACAAGTCCCAGAGGCTGATCGTTTTCCACCATCAATGCTCTTTACCTCAATGAAGAGCTATAAAGTGAGTAGGGTTCAATTTTTTATTAGTCACTTGACCTAGGCCTACCAAACTTTACAATAAGTTAAGTTAAGCATTTTTTGCAAACAGAATAGAGTTTCTGCTAGATAATCTGCAGAAAATTACAGTCCAGGAGGCAAAAAGATACACAATAAAATAACACAAAACACTAACTTATAGCGTACTGATATTTTGTCCTGATGTAAGAGTTCTTCAGAGACTAGGTTGAAGAGACAAATTTATTTAAAATTCCTTGCTTGCCAATTGGCTTTCCTTTGAAATATTTACATTAAGTTGGTAACTATTGGCATTGGTACCTACTGTTAGGCCTACATCTTATAGTCAGGATTTAGCTTTAGGAAAGCGCAACGCCACCTACATGTTGGTAACTTATCACAAGACACCGTGCAGGCCCGTTTTTTACCCTCTCAGCGCTCTAGGCACTAATAGTAGCGCCCCTTTGCAATATATATAACAGGGTGTTCACTGACCGGGAAATCCGGGAATCATGCAGGAGTTTTTTGAACTGGGAATTATGTGTGAATTTTGTATTTCTACCTGGAGTTTTCAATTTAACGTACGATCGTGCATGACAACAATGACGTTTCTGTGACCGCGGAGACGATAATATGTCTACTCACGGCCGCAAGGGGAATATTACCACAATCACGGAAGAAGATGGTAATGTCCACACGACCGCAGGAAACAGCAAGAATTTTGCCACGATTGCGTGACGATGATGATCTCCGATACAACTGCAGGACATGTTTAACATTTTGCCACAATCGCGGGATGCAACATTTTACATATGAATCGCAATTTAGATTTGCTTTGCTGGAATCATACTGACACCTTCAAGAGTCTAGTAAGCAATAACTGATTAATTTTACTTAGTTTGCTACTGTCCCCTTATTCTTGCCTAAACTTACTTATTTTACCAGGGGTGAATAGGGAAATTGTTGTTGGCCTAGGTAAAATATTGTAGTATAGTTTTTCCTAAATTGCAAAACACTATGTCAGTCTGTTTGCTTTGAGATTGTTAAAGGTTCCTCCATAGCTCAGTAAAATTGTAAAAACTCAATTATAATTATAGAAATCTTAATGGTATTATTTTCTTAAAATTTAATTGATATGACCATAACAACTACTGATTCTGTTTTAGCTACAAATTGGTTTGTGGATAGACCTGACGTTTACTTCCAGATTTTATGATAAAGACAATATAGCCCATGCTAACGGGTCTGAGAAAGAAGTAAAATATGTCAAGTTGCAATGTCGTGGTCATAAAGAAACCCCATCAGAGGACCAAACACGTCTGTTTATCAATATGTGTAAGAACTTTATTGCTAGAAACCCTCTCGACATTATTGGTGAGTATTCCTTTGGTAACAATCCAGGTTATATAATTTTGTGATTTTATTTGCAGGTAAAACTTTAGTTCCACTATCAATTGGATTGATACTTTCATGTTCGATAATTGGATGGAATCATACAGGGTGGAAAAGTCCACTGAAAGTATTTGACTTAAGTGTGGATTATTTTATAAACAATGAAAGTACAACTTCAAAATGAAATGATTATATAATTCCAAATTAACCGACCTTTTGATTTATCCGACCTAGGTCCGGTCCCATTAGGGTTGGTTAAGAAGGGGTCTATTGTACCAAGTTTTGAATCTCTCTCTATATTACTTTTGAAATATTTAACCGTCCCGGGACTTATTTTCCACCCTTTATATCATAGTTTTGTCTTACAGTATTTTATCAAAATTATGTGCCTTTCAGCGAATTTTCTAAATAGGGAATATTAGCGAATTTCCCATAATGGGAATAAGCTTAAGTTGAAGTTCGCATGATGTGCCTTAGTAACTCTAAGTTTTTACCGTACAGTGCAACTCAGATGTGTTTTGATTCCGGTTGAGTAATGAAAAAACAAATCCCTTTATTTCTTTAGCATGGGAATATTTGAGTGAAAATCCAATCAGGCAAATGAAAATTAGGTTAGTCTGCAAGGATCCTGCAGGTGGAGGGGCTATTTTTATTATCACACAATTCTAATTTTGCTATAGGCCTACCTGTATATCTTTTATCAGGTACCTAAGGTAACATTCTATCTAGATTGTATAAATATAAACAACAACCACACTATTGTTTACCATTTATTCTTAGTGTTTTGGCTACTGTGTAGGCCTACTGTTTGATGTTTAACTCTCCTTATTATAACACCATCTTTTCCAATTATTAGTCATCTGAGTTACTCAATTGTTTAGTTATAATAGTTTACAAATTCAAAAACTTATAATTTTATTTAATCACTTAGAGTTTTATCTGATAAATGAAACACATTTTTATATTCTGCATAACAAGTGTAAGGTTTATGAATAAATTTTCAACATCAGCTTTCTACCCGTGATGTCATCAATAGTTTACCTTAAAGTGTGTCCTCGTTCACGTATTCGTGTGACAACATTCATATTTTTAACGTCCAATTTGATTTAACTATCGACTGTCAAGATTTAGAGTCATCCAAATTTATTATATCAGATATCACAAACATACACAATTTTTATTCATCATTGTATGCTTTTCAGGCGTCCACTGCACCCATGGATTCAATCGGACTGGATTCCTGCTTGTTGCTTTCATGGTTGACGAACTTAACTGGGGGTTGGATGCAGCAATACAAGAGTTTGCTAAAGCCAGGTATGTTAATGTAGGGTATATTTGAATATCCTTTTTACAAGAGAATTTTTTTCTGTTATCAACGTAGTGCTTAGTAAATTTAACATTTACGATGACAAACCTATGTCTAATCCTAGTTCTTGCAGAACTGAACAGGATTCCGTTCTAATTGGTTGGGATTAGCGGGTCACTATAAGAAACCTTTTCCTAAAATAATGTTTCTGGATTTTAAATATTTTATGGTAAAAATACATAATTTTACAGCAGGAAAATTACTGTAGCCTATTCTTGTCTATCCAACACCAGATTAGATTATTAAAACTAGTAGGCTATTTAACTTACAATGTCTAAATTATGTCAATTGATATACATTAAGACTCAATAAAAGTAGCATATTAAAAATATTTTTTTAACTGTTTACAATATTATATGTGGTTAAAATTGATTTATTTCATGCTAAGCTTTAAAAAAAAAACAAAAAAAAACACTCTTTTTCCTATCCTTTTAGGAAAAAACGTAAGTAGGCTTACTTGTTAAACCTAATGTTAGTTAAACAGAAAATAAATCTGTCATGTTTAACCCATGATGACAACTGACAAGTGTAAGCTGTCCTCAAGATACTCACACGGTTAACCTACTGGCCCTCAAGTAGTACATCAAATCCAACCTAAAAGCTCTAGTGTCTTTTTGTGCGCTATAGTGGTTATCGACCCGGTCGACCAATGGTGGCATTGTAGCTCAGTTGGCTAAGGCGTTGCACTGACGAATGTAGCATTAATGTATTTTCTACAGCTCAGGTTTGAATCCTGTACATGTACAATCCGTATTGAGCTTGGTAATGTGTGGCTTAACTGTAATGGCAGGCCCATCTTAAATGAACGGTATCTGGCTCTGGTGAAAGTTGACCACATTAGTAAGTTTAAAAAGTTTAAAGTAAGTTTAGTAAGTTGGTGAGTCGGTGGCTCAGTTGGTAGCGTCGCAGACTTCGGGCCCAGGGCAGAAGTGTCGTGGGTTCGGATCCTGGTCACTGCCACTAACTTTTATCAGTACAGTTCACCTTTGTACTGTACCGGCTCACCCCTTGCTTTGCTGGATACGTTCCACGCACAGATCTGTAGTCTATGTGGACGGGCAAATGCAAGGTTAAAAGAGGCCGCCAACCTCTTAAAAAAAAAGGACTGCATACATCTGTTTTTTTTTTTCAATTTACATTGGTATAGAGGAGGAGGATACAGATTTTCTTTTAGCTTTTATTTTGGTTAAAAATCGAGAAATGGTGTTGAAATACCTAAGCCTACTTGATAAAAACATAAAAGGATATAGCCTAAATAGAGGGTTAAGGAAATGTCTCAGTTAATATGCAAGATGGCAAATGTGAATTCCCTCTGGTCTGCAAACTTGCTGCAATATTTAAGTGCCATTCTTCCCTCCTCCCTAATCTTTCAAATGACCTCAGTTGTAAAAAGTTGGTAAAGGACAGGTAATAAAGAGATGTTACATAGAAAACGCTTATTGTATTGTAAAGATTATCTATATATTTATATAAGGCAAAGCCCTCACTGACTCACTGACTGACTGACTCACTCATCACTAATTCTCTTACTTCCCATTTACCTAGGAGGCTGAAATTTGGTACACTGATTCTTTAGGCATTAAATAGGAAAACTAAGCTGTTTTTATTCTGATAGGACTCTCGGGCTCCACCCCAGTGGATCTGGGAGTTTCCCTTATTAACCTTATGAGTACTCATATTTAAATGGAATTAATGAATCTTAACAGCTGTTTCAATTAAACAAGTTGGTTTGTTGGTTATGTTCTACGATGTTCAATAGAATTAAAGTTACAAGGATTACCAACAGGGTGCAGCACTATTATTTCTTTTACATTTATGACAACAGCTAATTTGAAACCAAAAGTTGAGTGAGCGTAGCGAACGAACTTCCACCTGGAGGCGAGTTAGCGTAGCGAACGAGCTAACCTGAAGGCAAGTGAGGGCAGCGAACGAGCTCCAACCTAAAAGTGAGTGAGCGTAGCGAACGAACTTCAACCAGGACACGATTGAGCCATGTGAACGAGCTCACTTATAAAGTTAAACGGGGCAAAGCCCGCGGGTACAGCTAGTGAAGTAATATTTGTGTTGGCCTGATTTGGTATGTCCTGTTTCAGGCCACCGGGCATCTACAAGCAGGACTACCTGGAGGAGTTGTACAAACGTTATGATGAAGTACAGTATACCCCTGCTGCACCAGCCCTGCCTGACTGGTGCGACGGTAAGATCCCAAACCTTGTCAAGCTGTTTGCATTAGTTTAAAGTTAAAGGAAACTATCAAAACGTGTGCACTTAGTCAAACTAAGCTATTGATGACTGTTCGGGCACTCTGTAATGCCCCAATGTTTAGTTTGGATATATTCTCTTATCATACTACAGTAATCCATGATGTATCTTCACCTTAAACAATGCAATTTTGTTTGCATGAAAAATATGCGTACATGTTTTAGGAAATCAAATGTGTGTAGTTTATTTCTTGTTTGTTTGTTTACCTTTTCAAAAGGTATGTTTTGTCTTACTTTCAATTTAAATGTCAATATTTTATTTACTCTGTTTATATTTAATACTTAATTTCATTAAGCTACAGATCTTGTGGGCTGTTCTACAAATAAAATAAACGTTCACTTGTTTATAACAAATTAATTTATTAATACAAAAAGGAAAAGTTCAATTGGTTAGAGAGTATTAAACATTCATTTGGGCGAATCTTAAATCTTCAAGATAGTTCTTTAGATCAACTAGCCTAACTTATAATAAGTTATGTAATATGGCCTAATTAATTTTTAAATCTTATCTGGTGTAGTAGTGTAGTAATGAGATGAACGTAGCCGGACGAGGTCTAATCCTGGATTCGGTAGTCAGCACTCCTGCGACTGCGTAGGTTAGGTTTAGCCACGGCGTCGTCACCGTTCGTTGACAAGGATCTGCCATCGCCATTTTCCCACCATGATGCGAAGACCGGCGTTTTGCTATTCACAGTCACCCGCTTCACCAACTTGACTTTAAGTCTATTTCGTTTTGATAAGTTAACGGTTGTAGATATCCGGGTCACTTCTCTTTAACATTAAATACATTTGGAGGTAGCTATGTCACGGTGGAAGGTACAAATGATGTCTTTATGTTTTAAGAAATATGGACTTAAACAAAACACGTCCTTTCGCTACGGTATCCCCCCGCTGAAGATCCCTCTAGCCTCGTACCCAGAGCATATCTGCTTTCTGATTGGTTCCGAAGTCAAGAGCGCACGCGTATTGATTTTCCGAATACTGACGGATTCACACGAAGTTGTCCTACCATTGAATCCATTCTATAATGTTTAGCATTAATATACAAATTTAATTATTTATTTACTAACCGATATAATCAACCCGTCACAAATGCCAACTATTGATATCTTTAATAAATTTTGATTTTTTTAAAGAACCTGAAGAAGAAGACGAACCTGTCTCTTGGAAGAACCACCGAAGAAAGAACGAAGAAGACACTTCAGATTCAAGGTAATTTGATTAATTTTCGACACACTTACTATCTATTATGATGTTATTTGGTAAAGGCCAAGTTTTATGGATTTTGTGTGGTAGATAAGTGGAACAAAGCAGGCTTAACTTTATTTTGATTATGTCGCACCTTCTTATCCTACACGTTACTTCAGGCTAAGCCTAGAAGGTTATGGTATTATCTATTAGATAAAATCCTTTGGTGACTGGCTGGATTGGAACCCGGGACTTTGTGGATTGAAGCCCAGCGCTCTCTGCCACTAGATCATCTCGTTCCCCAGCAGGCTTACCTATAACTAACAATATGATCGACCGGCTTAGTTTGTGAATCCAAAATCAAATCTAGTTTGTTGTTGACAGGGGTGCCCAGAGGGGGGGTACGCGCCACAGGAATTTTTGGGGGGGGCTTTTTTAGGGGATTTTGGGGGGGATATTTTTTTGCTAGCTGTCATAATGAATGTATAATTTTTGTATAAGCAGCCCGATAAAGTGTTTCTAAGTAGCTCACTATCAACACCAACAACATTTTACCATTTGTAATTAAGATTCTTCTAAGAATGGTAAAAACGCACCTTTTAACCACGAATTTTACTTGTTTTGGTGGTTCTTTAACTCCACCATCGTTAGGATTTACAAAAGATCCACTTCTGGATGTGTCGTCACAATACGTTACAAACATTTAACACAAAACAGGAAACGATTAGAGATATGCCTATCAATTCACACGAGTACATTGCCGTCGTCAGGACTGGAAGTAAACTGAAACAGGTTCAGGTTAAGATGGACCGACGTGGTCTCTGGATTGTCGTCTGCGTTTTCAACAGCTGATATTGCACTATTGTAGTGACTGAGAAGAGTGTTGAAAATATAATGGGATTCATAATTAATTGAGTGTTTAGACTCAAAAATGTTTTTCTGTCTCTAGTTTTATGTGTTTATATACGGTATTTCAAACTCCTCAAAGTATTTAATAAATTTCTTTACGCGCAGTACTGTAGAATTTCGAGACCATCATTTATATCCAGCATATAAATTGCATATGAAGCATATGAATACCATTATATTTTCAACACTCTCCTCCGTCACTACAATTAGTCTAATATCAGCTTTTGATAACACAGACTTCAATCCAGAGACCACATCTTTCCGTCATAACCTGATTCAGTTTACTTCCAGTCCTGCCCACGGCAATATACACGCGTGAATTGATAGGCATATATGTTATCGTTTTGTGTTTTGTGTACAAACGGATTGTCTGACAAGTTTCTATCATTATTATTATTAGTCATAAAAGGCAATCCTGGGGCTATCAAAATGAATAGTAAATTACTTCGTCACAAAAACCTTTTGTACTAGTGGCAATTAAGGTATTGTGGGTATTTTGCCTGGCGAATTTTGTAGAAGGCAGCCTGGGAGTGGCGAGCAACAAGTCTGTCTTATTTCGTGACTCTGCCTATAATTTTGAAACAAGATACTTTTTGCCAATGTATTATTAATGCACTTAAAGCTGTTGAGTTCAAAGTGAATTCTTAAACTCTGTAAAAATCAAAGCCACCTAATATGTTATACAGTTTACAGTACTGTGTTGGAGTAGAGTAATTCACCGAGTATATTGTTGTACGTTTTGAAGACGTTGTCTATTGCAATACTGCGCACATGTTGACTGACATTACAGATTCTGAATTATAAATTGAAAAAATTATAATTCGTCCATTGATTAGTTAGATATAATAATGTATTGTTAAATGTTGTTAACGTTTCCTATTAAACATTTAATTTTGATTATCAGCAAGTTTGTTTTTCTTTACTTCAAGTTTGATTATTTAGAATACAAATACAAACAAAAACCAGATTTGTTTGTACTACTAAACACCTGTGATACTAAATACTTGAAATGCTCGTTTTATGAGCTAAAGGGAATTTCGTCGGATAAATTGGTGGGGGGAGGGTAGGTTTAAATAGACGGCAGCATAAATTGGGGGGAACTACTCCCTTGGCTTGGGGGGGGGGGGGGGGGGGGATTGCGCCTCTGGGTTTGGGGGGGATGGGCACCTCTGGTTGTTGATATAAGCATTATCAGGTACAACTTTGTCAACAATTTAAAGTAAATTCAAAATATTTGACTTTATTTCATTGACATCGTCAGCCTTTTTAACTCTGTTGTTTACATGTATTATTTCAATCTCGCACATCAATTTAGCCAATGTACAGAACAAAATACTGGTAATGCAGTTTCACGGACAAACAACTGTCGTTCCAGTAAGTGTTCCAACAGAATTTTAACTTAACGTAAAAGACATCCTCTAGTGGTAAATCATAAAACTACTAGTAATGAACTCTTCCGGCCAGGAATGTTAGAGCGTCATGGCGGTACGACGGATATCCAAGTAGGCCAAAGTTTGTCCAAGAAGGCCAATGGGTTAACTAATTTAACCTAATTTATTTAATTGGCTAATGGATTAGGATCCAATTTAAACCGTTTAGACAGGAATATATATATATCTATTAGGTAATGTATTTTAAGTTTATGAATTTTTTTTTATAAATGTACTACAGTAGCTGTTTGGCTCGCTCTTCACTTGGGAAATGTTTTGTAAAACCAGCATTTTAAATAGTGTATTGCATTTAAAATATATGCAAAAGTCTAATTCATTAACCACATGGCACCAAGAAACAAATCTTCATGTATAATGTTTTAAAGTACAGGTTAAGTGTAAGAAAGGGTCATGTGGCCCTAACTTTGCCTGTGTAAATAAATGATTTTGCATTTCATTTCATTACATAAACAAATATTATAAGTGTTTTGCACTCCAGTCTAGACATTTACTTTGAACGAAACTTGAACATATCTTGGTAATAGTTTTTTCAATGTTTTTCATCAGCGGAGGCAGCAAGAACAAACGGCGGAGACGGGAGATGAACAACAAAAACCCAGTGTTTATGGAAGGTGTACCTGGAGTGAGACCAGTGCAGGACCAGCCAAGACTCGGCAATATACAGACTGTTGTACAAGAGATGTGCAACTGGCAGAAGTGAGTTTAACATACATCTACCTTGTGTTCGTTAATTCTTCTGTACATCATCTCATAGACAATTGCTGAAAGCAATAACGGAAATAATTCAACATATTAACACAAACTTGTAACTTTATTTTTCATTAACAAAATTGTAAAACAAAAATATTGGCAGATGACAACTTTAAATCATTTAAATAATCAGCTGATAAATAGGCGAGTAAAGCCGGGTTTTCCTAGGCGCGGAAGTGCAGAGCGGAGAGAGGAACGCGGAGAGCGGACTCCACTTGTCTTAGGTGATTTAATGTTACTGTTTTCCTAGAAGCGGAGCGGAACACCATGTTAATCTCTTTTTCGCTCTCCGCGTTCCTCTCTCCGGTCCCCGCTTCAGCGCCTAGGAAAACCCAGCTTAAAGACAAGTTGAAATAAAAAATATTTACCAACAGTAATATATAAGCTTTTTGGATGGAACAGATTTTTTTCATACAGTAAAATTTAACAATCTCCTCTGGAAGAGAGCTAAATTCATGAATTATCGGATCATTAGGAAAAAGTTAAAATTAACACTTAGAATCAAATAGCACATTTTCCATTCTTTTCATTTACAGAATCTACATTTACAACACCACAAAATTAAAATTCTTTAATTTATTTTGTTGAAAAAGTACTTGACTTGAATAGGCTACAGTCCAGCACTTTGATTATCATTATACATGACTTATAAATTCCGTTCTTAATATCCGTCTAAAATTCTAAAGTCAAGGCAATGAACTATTTAAGTATTGTTTTGATGTCCCTCTTCACATCCTAGGACGTAAGCTCGAAGCTGTTTATCACATTACAGTCGAACCCCTGTTGACCGAAACAAAGGGTGGAAAGCCGTTTCGGATGACAAATTTTTCGGTTAACTTGTCATATGCTAAAAATAGCCTACCTATGTATTACCACAGAGTGTAGAACAAATTTATTTTAAACAATCTCCATATAATACAGTGTTTTATTTCAGCTACAAAAATGTTACAATGGGATAGAAAATCCCAATTCTAGAGAGAGGGGCTTGGCGCTACGCCTCACTGTTTACATAAACTGTGTATTGTACTTATATTTTAGCCATGTATTAATTTATAGAACAGTTTAGGTTAATCCAGGTTTCGATTAACTGGGGTTCTACTGTACTTCAGGCTGTTTTCTATGGTTAACCACCAGAGTTGCTCACTAGGTTGTAAATAACACCAGGGTAGGGTTATGTTCAGCTTATGTAATAAATCTTTATATGTTTGCCTAGGAATTCAAACTTCCAAGTTATGGGGCCCCGAGTTTGTGGAACTTGACTGTATTGTGATTTAAGATAGCAATACTCTACTGTATTTAACAATCGGTTTAAAATTATTACAAAACCAAATAGCAGTTAATTCATCATGAGCATCTGTCAAAACAATTAATATTACCTAATACCTAATATTAAATACCTTGTTCATTATTTTAAAGGAGGGAAATATCTAAAACCTAAACTCTTTTTCCAGGTCAGGGTTCCCAGGATGTCAGCCTGTATCAATGGATCTCAGTAATATAAAGCTCCTTCAGAAGATGCCATATAAGGTGTCGTGGAAGGCAGATGGGACAAGGTAAATGTTTAAACTTAGCATTGCAGGTACAAGCTCGTTATCTGACAAGCTTTTAATACAATCCAGGTTGGGAACCGGAGATTCTGTGTGTATCAAATTGTACTTGAGTTTTGATAACGGGGAAAAAGACTATGAACCAGTGTTGTATAGGGGTGGGAAACTTACATTTTTTAAATCATTATCGCCAATAGCTTACAAACAAGGTTTCTACTCATTAACGGCGCTTCAATGTCAGTTGTGTGAATTGTAAAGTAATTAATCACAACTGCAGTGGGTGGTGATGGATGTCGCTGCGGTGTCGGAAGATCTTTTAGATTTTGTTGTGATTGTAATAGAGGTTTACGGATGCTGCTAAACTTGCTTTTCCAAAGTATCACTTTCGGTTTCTACTCACCGCTATGTGCTGCAATCGCTGGACCATACCAATAGGCCCATAGCCCATCTCTTGGGTACTTAGGTCCACCCAATTATTTATACAGTAGAGTCTCGCAAACTCGGCACTCGATAACCCGGCAGTCTGGATAACTCGGCCATCACCTGGCTCAGAAAATTAGTGATATTTTGAGTCCGAGTTAAACATGGACTCAAGCCAGCTCAAGTAAAATCATTCACAACCCGTACCAAGGATTTTTTGTACTATATCTGATGACTTAATACTGACTTGTAATATAAAAAAGGAGGTTAAAGAGCTTAAAAATTGTACTGTCCTTATTTTTAACCCTAGTTCCTGATAACCTGGCATTTCACAAACTTGGCACCCTTCCAGTCCACATTACGCAGAGTTTGCAGGATTCTACTGTAACCACATTTTGACAACCATTATTGATACCGGTACTTTTCCCTAGAATACATGGCCTAAGTTACCTACTTAGGAACTAAAATTAAATTACACACGTCCAAAACCCAATTTTGTGTGATTTTTGTCCCATTTCCTGCTAATGATTACTAGATATACCAATCATTGTTTAGAGGATACGTCATCCTCACACCTAATATGCGTTATCTATTAAATGTTTTCACTGCCTGGTTCAAGACTGGTTGTCTCCCAGGCCTACTTTGCTTTTTAACTGACACAGTGTTTATAAACTGCTTACTCCAACGATGAATGTTATTTTCATGATGTGGAACTTCTAAATGCCTGTTGTACTAGAGTCACTGACTTTAGTTTACTTAATAACATTACACATTTAGCCTAATCATGATCGGAAATCATCTAAAGAAAACACAACTTGGAAGTCTATTTAAAAGAATTAGTAGGTTATCGATCAGCACAACAATCCACACGGCTGTTTTAATTAATGTAAACAAAACTGTTTGAGCTACCGAATGCAGGGGTACCAATATGAAATATTTTATTCCTCTTATAATAGTTTTATAGACATTTATAACCCCGCCATTATTTTATGAAAACACTATTTGAATTTACTTAACATAAAACAACTTTTCATCGTGTAATCAGACATGTTTGTTTCTAGGTACATGATGCTCATCTTGAAGCAAGGGGAAGTTTACTGTTTGGACAGAGACAACAGCGTTTTTCAAGTTGAAGGACTTAAGTTTCCTCATCGTAAAGACCCAAATAGACACCTCACAAATACTCTTCTAGATGGGGTGCGTTAAAACGTTTTTGTTTTCAGTTTGGTTTGGTCAATTTTAAGTTAACGCTTGGAAAATCTTAACATTAAATATAAATGATTTAAATAACAGGAAAATTTAAATTATTAGACTAAATTATTGAATTTGTGGAAAAACTGCAATTATTTCAATATTATAATATTAGTAAGATTACTCTTTTTATTGAGTTTAAGGATAAAAATGTTGAGAAAAATAAGATAATTTAAAATAAGAATTAGAAACTGGTAACATACATTCTACTGGTGTAAAAACTACAAAAAAATAGAGGCATAAGCTGATATAAATCTTAGTGACAACACGGGTGTGTTATACTACTGTTTGTTTTACAAATCACAAACAAACAACTTGGCTGTATTTTAGATTTCATCCAAATAATTAATAATTCGAAAATAGCTTAATTATCCAGCTTTACTTGTTATAATGCATTTCATCAGTGTTTCTTTTGTCTTAGGAAATGGTGATAGACAAACACGAAGGCCAGAATATCCCTCGATATTTGGCCTACGACATCATCAAGTGTGATGGAATCGACGTGGCCCATATGAAGTTTCCTCTGAGGCTAAAAGTCATAGAGGTAGACGTAGTTGGACCTAGGAACAAAGCTGTGACTGAAGGCAGGATCAGAAAGGAACTAGAACCATTTAGTATTAGAATGAAACAGTTTTATCCGGTGGACAAAGCTGGCAGTTTGCTGGGAGAGAAGTTTGCCAAGCAACTGTCACATGAACCAGACGGACTGATATTCCAACCAACAGACGATGTAAGTACAACATACAGTAATTAAAACATAAGAATTCATCTATCATTGGGCACGTTCTGGGAACATGTATTGGTGCCCCGATGCAAATGATCCGGTGTCTTACTCACCCGTACTGCCCCAGCGCAATTGAGTCTTGGGATCCCAGAGCAGTTGTCAGCGTTTTACGCTGCACATTGTATTGTAATTTACACATCAACCTACTGTTTACTTTATAATATTAACATCGAACCAGCTTGCCCTCACAGAATAAATTATTGATATATTATTCACTTATTGGGTAATACAATCCATCAAACTGATAAACAATTGATAATTTTATTCTATGGCACAGCCATCTTGCTGTAGCTGCAGACTGGTGCCCAAGAAACTGACCAATCAGAAGCCGCTGGTGTATATGCACCGGAGGAGGGCTGTCTGCTAGGTAAACTCACTGGTCTCCTAGAACAAGGCATTTTCTGCACCGGTCTTGTACCAGTGCACCGGTTAGTGTTCCCAGAATGCGCTCCATGATTTTTGCAAATGTCTATCTGTTCTTGTTGTCAGGTAAATCTTGGGAATATAGATAGTTGGTGCTTTTTTTTTTAGATCATGCTCACCATAAAATATTCAGTCGATTTGGACGTAAAATATAATTTTGTAGTGTTCTTAAGTATGTTTTAAAAGGTGTCTACAGCTCCTTGATTCCTGATATTCCCAATCTCCTGGAAAGTCCCCGATTTCCCCAAATGCTTAAAATCAAAATGTTTAAATTTTGTACCTAGGAAGTAGTAAATTAAGTGTTCCACCATAAAATATCCCTTAAAATTGCTCCAATTTGGCCAATTCTGACAGACCCTGTTCTCCCTTATTTCTCACTTTTGTGTTTGAAAAGTATTCTTTGGTAAAGAACAATCCAAATAATAAATAAGCAAAAGTCATAAGACCTGCTAGGAAATAATACAAATTATTGATCAGGTCGATATTTACATTTTAACAATATACCAAATACTTTTCTCTACAAACAAATTTGTAAATTCCTTATATTTCAAGCAAACCACCTCCAAATAGAACTAATATTTGTTCCTAGCAAATCATCTTCAACTACATTGACTCATTAGTAATGTTGTGTCCTCAGCCCTACAAGACTGGACAATGTAAGGAAGTGTTGAAGTGGAAACCTCCGAGCCACAACTCAGTGGACTTCCGCTTGAAAATCCAGAGAGAGGGGGGCGAGGGGTGAGTTTTAAAATAGATTCAGTAGAAAATAAATTAGAAAGTATGTTTCTGCTTGTAATGAAAATATTGTAAGTGTTCCACTTTGATTTGTCACTTGAGGGGGAGCAGAATAGCTGGTCTTATGATTCTTCTTCAATGAGATTTGGAGCTGTATTTGGAGTAAAGTCTCAACTCCAACTACTGGTCTAATGATAAGATTTTTTGTATACTAGACTAAAGGTATGTTGTAACCTGGTAGTTCAGAGTCCAACAAATTAAGGTCAGGCCTCAAGTGAGACAAATTTTGTATGTATTTGATTTCCTTCAATAAAAGCCATGAGATTAATTTTAATTGATGAGTATCATTAAGAATAATAATCAAAATCAAAAGCACAAAGATGTCAGCAAACAACTTTTATGCCTATTATAAAGTATTTATCAATTAATATATACAACCCGTCTTCAACTGCAGGCAGTAATTAGTACAACATAATAAACCACGTTAGACAAAGATTAAGCATTGACTATTGTACTAATAGTCAAAGGATTAAGTATCAGCAAAAAAAAACACTATTTTGTAAGTAAATCCTAGGCATCATGGGAAAAAGAGTCAAATAAAACATAACTATATTTATTAGTTGACTGAAAATGGTAACATCATTTTTACTACTAAATATATTACTTTGTGCTGTCGCTTATCATATATTTTTAAATAAGTTCAAACCATTCATCTCTATTACTACAACTGAATCGCAGGCTGTACTGCTCAGAAATTTTGTTCGTATCGGTCCGGCGCACCCCCTTCCACAGCTTCTGCCATACACTTAATATGGGGCTACTGTGTTTTCATTGATATATACTGTCGTATCTTTGTTGATACTTATTTGGTTCACATTCGGGTTTCACTGTTGTACTTATGTAAGTACGGAGGTTTTGATGTTGTTTTATTATTACAAACACCATTGTACCATTCATTATTATAGCAAGAAAAAGGTATAGCTCTCTAAGGCCACTTTATTTACAAAATGTGTACTACTTTGTACTTTAAAATAAATCCCTCTAATAGGACGGATTAAAATTTATCTAATGACAAAAGCCCCTGCATGAGTTAGCTGAGTTAAGTCAAAGTAATATTTTTTTTTAAGTTGAAATGAAAAATATAAGGTAGAATAAAGCTAATTATATTTTTGAATCAATTCATTTGAACACATTATGTAAAAAATTTGATTCAAAACGGAAATGTTTTAAAATGAAATTGACGAGATACCCGGGAACGGCTTGCAGGTGCACATTACTAGATTCAAGTCTCGACTTTTCTGTCAACCCTTAATTGGTAATCTGTATTACCAGGAGAATGTATTGTTATTACATTTCTGGAAAATTGAGGATAAAGAACGTTTGAACGTTTTAGTGAAACAAACATCAGCACACATGGATTTAACGGCTTCTATACACATGGATTTAACGGCTTCTATAGATATGGGTGGTTTGTTTTACTCTTCTCAAGAACTATTTAAGTTAGTCACGTTTTTCCAGTCTATTTTGAATAATAATATTACAAAGGAAAAAATGGTTTATCGCGTTGTGAACATGGCATGCCAGAAGTTCCAAAACTATTTTCAGACACCATGAAGATGGATATCTATTAGCTGGGGAGAAACCCCCCATGAAGTGAAGTTAATAAAAGCTAATGGATATCTGTTATCTTACTAATATTATAAATGTGAAAGTTTGTGTGTTTGTTTGAAGTTCAATCACGCATTGACTACTGGACGGATTGACTACCGGACAAATTAATTAATCATTAGCGAAGATAACAGCTTTATAATTTAAAGTGGCCGCTTCAGACTGTGTTTAGTAGATTTTAGTATCCAATGTAATCCAAAACCGAATGATTTTGATATAAAATCTATTCCATAATCTCCACAGTATCATGGAGATTACAACTGTGTAAAATAATTGAATATGGAGTAACAGTGAACAGAGATATAGCGTATTTTGTGAGGGCAAACATGGAAACGCCATAAGAAGTAATGAGTGAGAGAGACAGTTCAGGCGTTAGGTAGTGGGGGAAGATCCGATCAACCGGACCGAAAACCCAGCACACAGCGCGCGATCCAGTTGTAGTAATAGATCGATGGTTCAAACATATGTGAACAAGTCAATGTCTATATTGCTTGCATGTTGATTATTATAATATCACCTGTTACATAAACTGTATACTAGTGTAAAAGCCTTGTGTGGTTATAGGTCTAAAACTTTGACGGTTGCTCTATAAGCTGAAACAAACAAAAACAAAACACATTTATTAGAAATAATTATATTAAGCGTGTATCTTATTGTTTAAGCCAACTGGGTTTTGTTATAATCGGCCAACAAGGGATGATTTTCAGCATAATTTATTTTTATTATTTGTCAACTTTTTGATTGGCATGTCATACATTTTTTAAACCTCACACATACATAGAGGTCGTGCGGAACGAGGTGAAGCCTGAGATTTTTGGCGGGAACGGTCTAAAGCAGGGGAATCCATGGTGGGGGTAGGAGACGAGCCGATCGTCGCCTTGCATAGCGACACTTCCCCCACCACACCACTATTCCCCTCCAAGCTTCACCTCGTTCCGTACGACCTCTAGCATGCTATCAACCAAATTGATTTTTTTTTATGGCAGTTAAAAAGAGTTTTGAGTAAGGATAACTTTTAATGAACTTAACCAAAATGTGGTTTTTTCAGAATTGTGCCCAGTCTGGTAGGTCTGCTGTTTGTAGGAGGTCTGGAACCCCCATTTTCAAAAATGAAAGTATCCAAGTCGATGAAGGAGTTGGACAACAAGATTATTGAGTGTAAATATGAGAAGAACGCATGGGTGTTCATGAGAGAGCGAACTGACAAGTCTTTCCCCAACAGTTTCACTACTGCACAATGTAAGTATGGTATGACAGGAATTTGTCCCTGATGGATAAGTAAAAAAAAGGATAAAACCAACATTATGAGACAAAATAGCGGCATTATGGGTGCGCTCTACCTGTCACGTACTAATTCAAGGTTTTAGGATCTCCGTCATTGTCGGCTTAGTTCTTACCCGATTGAAAATATGTTACTGTTAATTTATTAATTTCTTATTTTTGTAGGCTTGTATTGTTTTAATTTTTTAGTAATATTAGAATTTTAAGTGGGAAATGACTGGTAAATACTTCTAAATAAGCTTTTTTCTATAGCATTTTACACATATAAATTATTTTTTTGAAGAAAATATAAAAGAAAGAGTCTTAAATTTTATTCTAAGGTGTAAGGAATATCCTTCAGATAAAAAAAAATAATTTGAAACTTAACTGAGTAATTTGAAAACGTCTTTAAGCGCTTCTTGCGGTGCTGTTCAATGGCGCAACATAGCTACTGAAGCCCGAGCTGAGGTAGAGCGCATCCTTAATCCTTTAGTGCTATGACCTCACTGATGATCTGCTTCATTATGAGCATTGCTGAGATCAACTCTTCATATTTCATATAATACACAACAATATCATGGACTTGTTGGCAGTTTAATGTGTCTATTCCGTCCAAAAGCTTCAAATCATTCATCGCCAATTCATTTTGCTCAGGGCCGGATTTCCCAATAGGCCCGGTAGGCCCGGGCCTATGGGCGCAAGCTCCCAGAGGGCGCACGGCCGAGAGGAAAAATATTTTTTAATATCTAAAAATAAAATAAATAGCCATAGCTTAACATATTTTGCGAGTTGATAAAAAAGAACTCTTGCCAATAAAGCATTATAATTATATAACTGTTACAACATTACACATCAATTTCGTTACAACATTGGTAACGAACATTGGTTATACAGGAGTAGTCTGTAGGGATGTTGTCAAGCGCCCGAGCGGTACGCATCGTATTGCCACTGTAATCTTTGCACTGCCACTATGCTGGCTCGGCGCTACTGATCGGAGTGATTGGGGGCGCATGCGTACTAGACACCATATTACCGTTTTCCACCCTCACCTCACAAAAAAAAATCATTAACTAATCTTTTGATCAGTTTACCTGCAGGGTCAAGTTAAAATATATAATACGTTTTGTTGAATACCTATTAAAAATACGATAAGTTTATCTTGTTTTTTATAAGTTTATCTTTATCAATTTATCTAAAATTCAATAACAAAAAAATATTTATCTGAGTTTGCAACAGGTTTTAGAAAAATTAAATCCCCTCCAAAGAAATCATTAATGGTGTCATTTTCTCCTCAGCTTAGACCTGAGGATAATTATGGTCGGTGGGACTATTGCTTTGTTTTGCTTTGCAAATATAATCTGGATGCAGTACTTCCATAGATTAACCATAAACTCAAAACGACTTTTTACCACATTGTTAATTCTAATCTAAATATAGTTTTTAATGTCTAGTTCATATATGTTGGTGACACTGGAAGTTACTTTTCACATAATTGTGTTTCTATTATTTTATGGATAGTTCTATGTTGTGTGTTTTAATTTCTTGTAATATAACCTGGGGATGACCTACTGTTTATGATCACATCGTTTTATTTTGAACAAACAAGGTTTAAATAACTTAAATAAAAAGAATTGTTTTCAGCTAATCCCTAATGATGACAAATCTACTAAAGTAGTAGGCCTATGTTTAATCTATGGTATCACGCACTGTTATGGCGTTCATGTTTTGGGGCCTGAAATCGGAATCAATGGATATGCTTTTTTGCAGGAATGCTCTGTGGTTTGGATTGTTTTGTTTCAGTCCCACAAGCGTGAGCATTTGCCAAAAGTATAAAACTGACAAAAGTGTTTAAGACGGCATTTTGTTAAGGCTAACCAAGACAATTCTTCAAAAAACTTGCAATTATAAAATTCCGACGAGGAGTGGTGTTCAAGCAATTAACATAGGCCTATAAATAGGAATTATTTAGTTTTTAATAAAGGTTTGTAGGAAAGAAACTGTGACCAGACTAGGGGGCGGAAAAATTATTTGGGCCTAGGGGCGCCAAAATGCTAAATCCGGCCCTGATTTTGCTCTTTCATTGTAGCTAGCAGGGCCACCTAAATTACGCTATACAGTCCAACCTCAATATAACGAATCTGAAGGGACCGAACTGAATATTCGTTATATCAAGGATTTTGTTAAAACGAGGTTCGTTATATAGAGGTTAGGTTTGCAGGAATTTCGCTAAGTCGAGGTTCAGAACCAGCGTCGGTCAATATAGGTCGGGATTTGACCTCATTAAAATACAATTAAAGTAGCATAGGCTACGCTACAATACTTTACAGTACAGTGTTTACATTGTAAAGTAGAACCTAAATTATCCGGCAAAATAAAGGGGAGGGATCTTGAATATTGCGCAATCATGACAATGGCTTTGACCTTGGTACAGGTTAAAAACTGCAAGTTTAAAATCACAGCTTGTTCTAACCCTCCTAAAACCTAGCCAAACACTGTATTGCGTAGTCATAAACCATGTAAAGAACAAAACAAAACAGTAGAAAGTTTTGTAAGCTAATGCTCGTGATAGGCCGGTAGGCTACTTACAGTACAGTACTGGATTATCACAACAGAGGAATGTCAATAGGCCTAATAATCATTAACTATAGCATTGGTGTTGCTAGTTGAAACAAATCGTATTGAAAACAATAAATTATTAGATAAGTCATTATAAAAGTGTATAATCATAGCCAACTTAAGGATAATAAAAACACTCGTAAAAGGAATGTACGATGTTGCTATTCTTTCTCTTTGGTTTTGTTTTTATATTCTTTCTTAGTTTTCTCTTTATCCGAAAATTGTACAATTCACCATAGTTATCCCATATCGCCCAATCACAGCTTACTAAACATTACGTCGTCATCAGTCCTCAGTGAATGAAATCAGTTCAGTTCTCAGTTGCAACATAGCGCGCGCAGCGACAGCAGACAAAGATGTAAAACGGAGCAGACGAATGTTAGCGCAAGCGATGACGTGACCTTTCCATTTCATTTGATAAAGAAACAGATTTTCCCAAAACAATAATTGGGTGGGGGATTTGTTATATCGAGGGAAAGACGTAGACAATTCGTTATGCAGAGGTTAAATTCGCAATGTAGAGGTTCTGACAATGATAAATTCGTTATATTGAGGTGTCTTATTTTAGCCAAAATCACGAAAAATTCGTTAAATCAAGGTCGTTGTTATGATTTGTTCGTTATGTAGAGGTAAAATATACATTGTGTCTTATGGAGAGTTCTAGGGGATTAAAAAAAATTCGTTATATCAAGGAATTCGTTATATCGAGGTTCGTTATATCAAGGTTAGACTGTATTTTGTTGTCTTTTTTTACAGCTATGCTGAGACTGAATAGTTTATGTTTACAATTTCCCTTATTGTGTTTTGAAGAGAAATTAGTTATAATTTTATTATTTAGTTGTAAATAGTTATATTTGATATTTAGTGTTTGTAAGATATAAATATAGCCAATCAGTAGTAGTCTACAGGAAACTATTTCATTTCATACAAAATTTCTCGTTTGTAGTGAACCGAAAACTGAAATAACAGTAACAACATAATTTAGTAGGCTACTAGTATTTATGCAAAAGTTTTGAAAAAAAAGGTTTCTCAAATACCTATATTGCAAATTAGGTCTTCAATAAGGGATATGTGGCTAATTCCCAGGACTTTGCAACACTTATTTAAATGACCAAGCACTTTTCAGTATTTGGCATTGAGTAAAAAGTCATGGCAGCCATAACTTTTCTCTTTACAAAAACATATTTTTTTTCAGCGGTTTGTAACACTATTGCAAACCCTGTTACGACAGAAATTCTTCTCAACTTTATCGAGAGGCAACGCTACAGAGAAGAAGAATCCGACATGCCTCCTCCAGCCTACATCCCAAGGAGATAGTGACTGATCATTTAAATTAAATTATTGTTTTATTTTTGATGTTATTTTTTATTTACTATTGATTAAAGACACTGCATGATAACAATTGGCTAGTGTACTTTATCCTGTACTAGCTGTTAGTGATGGTCAAAACCTTAAATTTCGAATCTCGAAACCAAAACCGAAACTTAAAAAATCGAATCTCAAAACCCAAACGTGATTAAACCCAAGTTACCCTAAAAATACAGGTAGGCCTAATGATAACATTTTCATTATGATTATGCGATCAAAGACATAAATGTGACACATAAAAATTCAAACCCAAAACAAAAAATTTTTTCATAAAGAAACATTAAAATAAATAAAACTCCTGATATTAAATTAATTATCAGATTATACGACATTACAATGATATTAAATTAATTAGAACATTTAGAGGTCAATAAAAAATTCCATCGCTACCATCTTGTATATATGAACAGTGTTATAAACAATAATAATGACACAAAAAATCTCAGCAGTTTCAACAAATAGTGCCAAAATTTTCAATTTCGAAACTTTTGAATCTCAAAACTTGCCTATCGAATCTCAAAACCGAAACTTTTCTTAAGTTTTGATGGTTTTGACACATCACTATTTGCGACAGTGCCTGTCTTCTGCAATGTTGCAATATGGGTTAGATTTAGTTTCTATTTCATGAATAGTTTTAAAGATGATGGAACCGTTAAAGTCTTCTTTTACATTAAGCAGGCTGTCATGTCCAGATTCGGTTATATGTTTATAAATTTGGTAGCTATCAGTGGCGGTACTTCCATAAGGGCCAAGTGGGCCGGGCCACGGCCCCCTTTAACTACAGGCCGCGGCCAACGAGAATTGGCAACGTCGCACTGAGCATTAACTCCCGGCCATTTCACCATTACGGTAGTACGAAACTAGTGGTCGCGGTTTAAATATACTGCATTTTTACACCCTTACAATTGAGATAAAATTTTGAAATTTTGTTCAGAGCTAGGGAATAAACCCTTCATGCCAATGGTATGGTTTTGAAAATTAAAATTTCATTTGGTAGTGCATATATATATTTTTAAAATTAACACATTAGAAAGATTTTGGAAAAATGAAGTGAAAAAGTTAGTCGGCTACTAAAATTTTTGTTTGTTGGTCAGAGAAGTTTCGTCTGTGAGAAAGTTGTAGATAATCAAATATGCTTTAATGTTTGTATTTAACTTTTCTTTCTATCATGCTTAGTTTTGTTAAAATTTTGGGTTGAACAGAGTGACCAAGTCTCAGTTTTATGGCGCGGCGCGGCGAGTAGCGCTGCTCGCAACTGTAGTGTAGTATCGCATAGCTAATAATTAATGTAGGCCAACTGAATTATTTCAAGCATTTTAATATGCCTGTTGGTTATCCACAAGAATATTACTTTTGTATCAAATACTGCATGACTTAATGTCTTCATAATTATATACCGTAGTCTAAAACAAAAATTCCTTTTCCTTTTAGTTTTAATAATTTTGCTGTAGTTTATTATGAATTTTAAGTATGTGTTTTATTTACACGCTATTATGTAGTACTATGAGAAATAAAAATATTACTTCATTCATTCTGTTATTGCGCAACCATTAATAACTAATCCATTGATAATATTCTTGCAACAGACAATCGGAAGGCGGGGATACCGACAACTTTTAATTTAGCGCTCATCAACCAATAGTGGCGTGGCGACCACCATCTTCATTGAATTAGGTGGAATTAGCGAATAACTTAAATTAGCGACAACCTGTACCTTAATTAGCGTGCAGTTGTTCTTCTGTGTTGGCTGGTTTTTAGTGACAGTGGTTTTTATGTCAGATATCGATATTTTAGAAATAGCTGAAACTGTTTGTTTTTGTGGAATAAATAATTCGAAGGAAATAGTACCAAAATTTTTTTTGAGAATGAGCAATATATTTGTTAAATATCTACACGAAAGTAAAAAATACCAAAATAATAGCCACTTTAAAAATAGAAAAATGTCAATCCTTTCTTGAATAAAATAATTGTATTTATTGTTTTGTCAATTTTTACTTCGTATAGTAAACGTCATTATTTTAATGATAAAACAATAGCTTACATAGAAGCTGTAACTAAATAACATTGTAGATAGGATTTAAATTTTAAGTGTTTAACAATTAATAAATCATAGTGCAAATACGTAGAAGAGACGGAAGAAAACTACAATCATACGCCTACGTTCAATGTACCGTAAAAGGTTTTAATAAATATTGTATTACATTCTTGGATTGACACGAAATCCTCGTATAATTATTTACTTCTTTTCCTACACATCAGCGTTATCAGATATAAAACATCTAAATTAATAGATAATTCGCGTGCTTGTTCCAATCCTCCGCGGCGCGAGCGCGAGCATTCAGTGGTGTAGCGTAGCAGTAGCCATCCAGCCATCCGATGCGGTGTTGCCACTTCGAACGCCGCGGCCTGTAGTTAAAGGGGGCCGTGGCCGGGCCCACTCAAAATAAACACTAAAGTATATTTTTAAATTCTTAATATTTTGTTTGGTTGATATTATTCAATAAACTGCGATGTAAATTAATTTTGAACTTTCAATGGGTCATAACTTTTGTTGAAATACAATGCAATAATCTCTTAACACATTGGAGGGCCACAGATTTCGGGCCCTTCTAGCCACCATAAGAACGTAATGGACAAGGCAACGCCAGTCGTCGGCGCTTGACTATCACGGAACAATGCATTGGTATATGGAGCAGAAGGGCCGATTTGAGCTGGCCCACTGGACGTTTATTCTCAATATTATCGCTGGGAGTGCTGAGCGCTAGTGTAGCATTGTTTACATCCCGATTCCCGCCGCCCGTGTATGTTGTACACCAACCGGCAAACAGGATGTAGTTGTATGAAATATTTTATTAATTAGTAAGTTAACACTTTTAGTTAGTTTCGTAATATTATTACAGATTTATTAGAGTACCGGTAGCCATAATACGATTGTGTCGGTTTTAAGTTAGTGATCATTTAAATTTAAAGGTATGATGATGGCGTGGTGATGTTATTGTGAAGTGGGTGTCCGTGGTTCAAAAATGGGGTTAGGCCTACTTCAACGGTACTGCAATCTTCAGAATTGTGAGTTATTATTAAAAAATCCAGTTTTTGCCATGATTTCAATTGTAAATTTACAGACTAATTGTATGTTTGTAGATAGATAGTTTTGAGCAGGCCAATGCCTATATTAGTTTTGAATTATTTACCATTTCAATTACACGTTTAGTAGACGAGTAGAGTAGATAACAGATAACTTAGACCTACTAAGTAAAATACTTGAAGTAGTCTACTAAATTAATAGAATTATACAGTAGTTATACTTTCAGCAAAATATTAGTTATATTTTAATATTATTAACTCACAGTTGTGATGATTGACACATGGTAGGCCTAACTTAATTTCGTTTAATTTTAGCTTTTGAAAATGAAGTGGATAATCTTTTAACATTAAACTTTTCTAACCTCGCTCTACCATACCTCATTCTACTGATCGTGTAGCTAGGACCTAGGATCAGATCAGATGGAGCAGTTTATCAATTACGACAAACTCGCGATAAACCAACGTTTTCAATACTTAGCTGAAGAAAATAACGTACCATTTTTTAACCAGCCCAACATCTAATCAGGTGCCTCAAATGATAAAAACCCATCTATATTATGTCAAAAATAGTATTATGTCAAAAATAATGTCCTTCAGGTAGCCTAAAAACACGTTTTAAAGCTTTTATTTTTTTTTCCCGGGGGAGGACCCGGACCCCCTTCCTCCTTAGGGGTATTCCATACCCCCCAGACCCCCCGAAACGATCCAACCCCGCAATGTCCCACCACAGGCCCACCCTACTGTTCAGGTGAAGCGCCGTCACTGGTAGCTATCTTGTATTTTGGTTGTGGTTTTAGACTGAGTTTGTTTTAAAACTGTAAGGGAATTGGGGTATAATGATATTGAGTGGGTGGGGTTTTGTTTGAGGTATTTTGCTACTATGGAAGTTGGATTTTTGTAATGACTAGTGTTGTGCTGGTGCTCTTTAAAACACTGGGAAAATGACCTGTTTGTGTAGCCAAGGTATTGTTTGGTACAAGGGGGATTGCGATTGCAGGTTATTTTGTATATTAGACGGCTCTGTCCTTTTCTATTCGGCAGGCTGTACTTCCTTCATTGTTGTTAAATGGTATAGGAGTGTTTTGTTCTTGATTTGGCATGCGGGTGTGTAGCTGGCTTTTTGAAAGCTCTGCCACTTTTTTCTTATATTTTGTTAGTGCATTTGATTGGAACATATTTTGGGTTTGGAGTTCCGTTTAGGTATGCCAGGGCACCTTATTAACTGCCGGACAGAAGTTTTTGTTTAAGTACAGTGGCTTAAAATTATTAATAACGGAAATCGAGTTTCAGCCACTTTAATATTTATTTTTTCCATTAAAATACATAAAATTAGTAGTTAATTTGGATGTATGGATGTATGTTTGTGACAAGTAAACGTGAAAAATAGTCGGATTGGGCTGAAATTTGGCATGATGATAGCTCACATTCCCGATTAACATATAGGCATATTCTTATTTCAAAAATACTTTCGGGCTCCGCCCCAGTGGCTCTGCAGTTCCCCATGTTAACCTTATGAGTATTCATATTTAAAGGGAATTAAAGAATTTATTCAGCTGTTTCAACTAAAAGAGTTGGTTCTGTGATATGCAAAAGCATTAAAAAGTTATAAGATTTACCAACAGGGAGCAGCACTATTATTATTTTCCATTATTATTATGAAAACAGCTAATTTTAACTAAGCAGCAACAAAAAAAAAAACTGTGATAGGCAATGAGAACTGTCAAAGTAGGATTGTTTACATTTATGATTATTTTTATGAATAATTTGTGATATTTTACGAATTTTTTGAGCGGAGCGAGCGAAGCTCTTATACGTCGACTCTTATGCATTTCGTAATACGCAAACTCCTCCTAGACGGATGAATCAATCGTTTTCAAATTTTGCATGGTGATAGAGACCATATCGGTGAGTGCCAACATCTATTTGGCGTTAAAAAAGTCTCTCAGGAAT